GTTTCTGTTTCTCACCAGGTCATTCGCTAAGCCCCCCAAACAGGTGCAGACGGTGTGTGAGTGCATCCTCATCATGAAAGGGTACAAAGAACTCAACTGGAAAACTGCCAAGGGCATGATGTCTGACCCAAATTTCCTGAGGTCTCTGATGGAGATTGATTTTGATTCAATCACCCCGAGCCAGGTGAAAAATATCAGAGGTGCGTACAGACAGATGCAGGAATAGCCAAGGTTGATCTCAGTTTGGCAACTCAGGCTTTGAGAGCAGGGACGGAGAGCACAGAGGGGGCTTGTCACAGGCCGACCTTCCTGTTGTGGTCAGTTGTCACTGTGGCCCTTTGGATAGAATAGGCCAAATGATCATTCCCAGAGGAAGAATAGGAAGATGGAGGCACTGTTGTGTGAAATGGAAAGGCTGGGTGCTAGATGGGCAGTAGAAGCCCATGCCCTCTGAACGTTCGACAGCAATCACTCTGGTGTTTCCCCTTAGGATATAGGACCTTCTTATGGAACCCAGCCTGGACTTAGGTCTTCCGTCCATCTTGTCCATCAGGCATGGTGGTGCAAGAGGTGGTCTAACCGTGACTTCTCCCCTTGCACCTTTTGCCAGTATAAAGTCTTCTATAGGTCCCTGGGAGATAGGTGAGGAGGGGCTGGCACCACCCACAGCCAGCCTCCCCATCTTCAGTTATAGAATGCCGGCATTCCCTTTGAGCCTGATGCCTGACCTGCCTAGATGCTTAGCCAGTGGGAATGAGGTTTTAGTCTTTGCCAAAGGCCATTCAAGTTCATAGTGTCACTGTTTTCCTTCATGTTTTGTTCAAAACGTTATTATCAAGTGCTCTTTCTCAGCCACTCAGAAAAAACTAAATGAAACACGAAGGATAACAACAACTGCAAATACCTAAGGACCTCTCTTTACCTGAATATTGACTGGATGGGTTTCCATTCATGTGAAATTACTCCTGGGGTGAGGGTGCGGGTAGAGGTGATGGTGACCCATCATGGCCTATGAATTCCAGCTAGCTACCTGGTCTGAGCCACTTTGGTGCACAGTTGAGGGTCCCCACGGACACCCTGGACACAGAGGTGCCTGGATCATAGGATGTCCTAGGTGGCAGTAACCTGTGTCCCTCACTCACATCTTAAGCATCCACCTACATAAAACTCATTTAGTGACACTTATCCATTGGCAATTTATTTCCCATTTTGTTTTCCCAAGATGAAGCTTGTCAATCATCAAAATCATTCCATCTTTGACCCCTAGGCCTCTTGAAGACTCTCAATACCACAACTGAAGAAATGGAAGCTGTGAGCAAAGCAGGCTTGGGGATGCTGAAGTTTGTTGAAGCTGTGATGGGCTACTGTGATGTTTTTAGAGAAATCAAGCCCAAAAGAGAAAAGGTATTGTCCATCTGTAAGACCTAAACAGAGCTGCCAAGGGAGCAATCTGGAGTCGGAATGAATATGTCCACAGCTTTGATGGACAAATGTGAGCAAGGTTCCGATTTTCCATCACATAAACATTTCCCCCTCTCCACTGCTAATACATGATAACCCTGAATTATATCACTCTCATCTAGACAGTGTGAATGAACTGACAGAACCAAAGTCTGGAAGATTTTCAAATTTTGTGTGGAAAGAGTAGGATAAATGGGTAAAAATCATCCTCTATAACTCAAGCAGGCTTCTTTGCCTCGGTGCTACTGACATTTGGGGCTGGACCATTCTCTGTAGGATGTGTAATAGCATGCCTGGCCTCCACCCACTGGATGCCATTGTCCCTACCCCCAAGATGTGACAACCAAAATGTCTCCAGACATTGCCATCTGTCCTGGGGTGGGAGGCAGTATCGGCCCTAGCTGAGAACCACTGGGTCAGAGTAACCTGTAGAACACACAATACAAAGAGAGTTATTAGGCTGATTTGATCATTTTGTGACCTATTTTGACACTGCTTTATCACTCAGAATTTTGTTACTCAGAAAACTCAGGACCAGGTGGAAGACCAGCATTGTTTTCGATGCATTCTTTTGAGTTTTTGACTTAGAACCACAGTATCATTTTTTTTTTTTTTT